ACTTTCGCAGCGGAGTTCATTGCTCGTCTAATTTGATCCCATTGTTCATCTACATTACCACCCCGCGTTTAGCTCTTGCTCTAGTTCTGATTCAAAACGGGCATGAACGGCTGGGTCAGGTAAGCGATGATCTGCTAATCGAGTTTGGTGGAATTTTCTGCGACCAGTGAGTTGGAGAGTGAACTGCATCAAAACTAACGCATGATCAGATTCAACGCAGGTGGTCCAATAGGACCTGCAGTTTTGCACTAAGCCACGCCAACGGTAGCTTACTGCTATATGGTTGAGTTGAGTTAGCGTACCAGTTAAGTTGACGCGCCACGTTGCTGTCCGTTTTGAGAGCTGTGTCGGAAGTTGGTGCTGGATAGGAACATATGATGATCTGCGCAGAGCTGAAGAAGTCGTTCGCCATTATCTGTTCACTGGCAGAGCAGAGCAAAATGACCGCCTAGGCAAGCTTCGGATGCGCTCAGTTTTCCATCTTGAGCGCTAAAATCACCTGCAAGAACAACTATCTCGGAGCTTCGACTCAACCGAATGAGTTCGGTGAGTTTATCGTGAAATTGTTTTTTTTGTGCGTCAGAACTGCAGTTCGTCGGAGTATACGCTGAAATGATGAACAGGCACCTTTCGGTATTTCTTTCTTTTCCGGACGCTGATGGACCTTTGGAGCCGCATCGAACATAAACGACTATTGACGGGGATCCAATCGAGTAGTGCGGCTTCGGCTGTATTATTCAATACAATACCCACACCATGCTGGCCTACTGAACGGGCTTCGTCATCACCTGACGCGCGGAGGAAGAACTTCGAAGACAACCCCGGTGCACTTAAGTGGTTCATAGTACTAGGATCTTGGATTCGCGTCTCCGATACGCAACAGACACCATTGTACGCGCCAGGCACGTTTGTGGACCTATCTGCATCAAAGCCCTCACGTTGGAGGTCCCCAGATTCAGTGGCTGACGAGCCTTCAGAATCCGCAATTTATTTTGTGGTAAACCACTTACCGGGCTACTTGGCGACGAACTTTGGCGAGTGATGAACAAGTTGTCTGAGGGCATGTTGTGGGTTGGAAGAAGGTGTAAAGGGAGAGGGTTGGGAACGGAAGACAAAGAGTTAAACAAAGGTTGGGATATCTGAGCAGTAGCCCACATATCACTACCCACCCGCTCGATGCGATGGGCAGCGCGGTCCTGTTTATCCTGCGCGACGACCAATACAGTATGGAATTATTTTTTGTTTGTGTATGCACTTCAGTTTAGTGGGCGGGTACTGCCAGGGTGTCCACCGACTAAGCAGAACGATTAGGGATCTCGTCCAAAGCCTTTAGTTCTCACAAGAACCTGACCGCAAGGCAGCGGACGAAGCAAATTAGAGGCCCATATACTTGGCTCAATTACTCCTCTACCGTCTTACCGACTGAGACGCTAACTCGAGTCGAACCCTCAACCTGGAGGACCAGGAGATTGAACTTCGTCTGACCCCTACCCATTGACCTTCCAGGCATGATTAGATCTGTGGCTCGGTAAAAGCCATCCTGTGTAGCTCGTTAGGTCAGAGAAGTGCACAAGCCATCACACCACGTCAAGG